TGATTTAAACATTGGAGAGGATCCAGAAAGAACAGAGGTTGCAACATCTGCTTATCAAACATGTGCATATGTTGTTGTTTTTTGAACATCAACCTATTAGTTTGCGGGAAGACATTTTGCACAACTTTCAAATTGAGTGCAGGTGTGCATGGATGTGCAACAGGATACCTAAATTAGCAAAATAACATTTCCTTTGTCTCTGAATGAGATTAGAAAGACTCATAAATCACATCTGCACACATTTTTTATTCTTCCCATGAACTGACACTACACCACCCACAGGCCTCTGCACACGAACACCCTCTACACACACATTTGTGGCCTGAAAGGATCAGGCTTTCCCTTGTACAGTGTCTCTCAGTAGAGTTTCTCGTTGGCAGCAGAGGCCAAATAGGGGGAGGGGGTCCCTGTTTTCCCAGTGGAACCTAAACACAGAGCCCTGTTTATGGCCCGGACACGAGGAACACATCGGCCTTTCTATATTTTGCATTTCCGAAGCCCTGGTTTCTGTGCGAACCAGGGGGAAAGCTGCCGGGAGATCTGGGTCTAGACAGGGTTAAACCAACAGGACTCCTCCTTCCTTTGAATAGGCCTTAGGTGGGGTTGGTGAATCTGCTCAGAGGAGGAATTTGAGCTAACAGCTGACACAGTGTTTGGTTAGAATAGCACATGGCTCGAGTCCATAGCTTTTGGAGACATTTCTTCCCTTTTTTATCCAACTTCTTCTATGCACAATATTTAATTCTCTGCTTCACCTGATATCCAAGGTGTGAAATACTTAAAGGTCACCTATTATGCAAAATCCACTTGTTCATGTCCTTTCTACATCAACATGTGTCCCCTCTGTGTAAAGAGATTCTGAAAGTTTCAGGAAAAAAGATTCTCTCTCTTTTTGTCCTGATCCATTTATATAAAAACCTGTCTGAAAATGAGCTGATCAGATTTTGGCCCCTTTATGATGTCATAACGATGTTTTGGCTTGTGTAACCATTAGCCAATCACCAACCAAGGTAACCCCCCCCCCCACACCTTATCACCTGAATCTCCTCCTAGAGCACTATTGTGTTCTTTTGAACCAGATATCTCTCAGAGGGGCGTGGGGAGGGGCTCCTTATTTTCATCTAAAGTAACAGACAGAGAATCAGCACTTTTGAAACAGGGCTGAAACAGAGGGGATTATGGGATGCTGCAATGATCTGTTTGGTGTTTGGAGCCAAAACACTTCAGAGACATGTTTTGTATATATCTGAGACCTATAATATATTGATGAAAAACAGTGTAATAGGGGACCTTTCATTTAAAATGTGGATTATGATCGTCATCGCTTGCTGAGTAATGCCACATTAGCGACGACACACAATGCTCTCTTTGAGCTCAGTCACTGTGCCATCTCAACTCCAGATATTTGTCACATCCAAAATAATTTCAGACTCTGCTGACTGGTCTTTTATTTAATCCAGGTATGAAAGAGGGCTTTGGGAGTGGTCATGTTTTTAAACGTGTTCCTAAATCACCAGTTGTTTCCATAAGGAAGTTGTAATGTGTTTAGAAAACTGGACAATAAATCAGTGTACTGTAGCAGAATGATCCCATTACTTTAGTAGCTGAAGGACAAAACTTTCCTCTGTCCATTCGTGTAATAAGGCATCATTTGCACTGTGAGTCATTAACAATAAGGCCTGGACACACCAGCAGTTAAAGGTTGAAAAAGCACTTGCAATGAATTGAATCACAGGGAATAGAATATTTGCTTGTAGAGGACGTACTTAATACTTGCATTGAGTTCAACTTTGGTGAAGTCTCAAGTACTTTCTACTTTTTTAATGCTATTTTATTTATATTTGCGATGTTTACATCTTTAATTGTTTTCTTCTAGTCTTTAAATGTCTCAAATGTACAATTCCTTGTTTTTTTATGCTGCTGCGAAGCAAAAATGTCCCAAATTGGGATCAATAAAGTACATCTTATCTTATCTTATCTTGAGTTTATGCCGTTGACAAAAAGCAAGCCATCTTGACAGTATTGGTGTAAATCCCGGTCCGTTATTATATTGATTCTTTCAATATCATTCAGTTGAGGTTTGCTTCCTGTGCAGTTTATCTTGAGGAGGGATTGTTTCATTTGGCGTGTGGGATGAAAAATCGATGGACAAACAAGTGAGAGGGCGCTTGCAAAAAGGAAGCCAAAGGGGGGGAACATTAAGCATTCAAAGAAATTCTGTTTTGGTGGTGCGGATGAGAAAAGGAGAAAGGGGGAGGAGGTGGGAAGCCAGGAGCACAAAAGTGCCTGAGGGTGGAGGGGGGTGAGTGTGGCAGAGACGGACGGACCACAATGCCCTGCAGCTCGATAGGGTTGAGTGACCACATCAGGTCTAGAGGCAAGCATCGAGACATGGGCGAAACCCGATGGCTTTAAGTCAAGAGGATTAGATTCAGGGTCCCTCTCCCTCTCTCTTTAACCCCCTTTTGTTTTTACCTCCACCTCTCACCCCCGTCTCTCCCCTCTCCCCGTGTCTGTTAGGTGGAGTGCCCCCAGTGCAGGTCCTCCAATAAGTAAAGAGAAGGACCAAAGTATTACTAATAGTCTGGTTTTAATGTTTCAAGTGGTAGTCAACAGACCCTTGTCTGTTGACTCATATATTCTTGCAAAACCAAATGATGTCCACACTGCTGATTGATTTCACAATGTCCTCATTGTGTTTTTTCTTGACTTTTTTCCATTATCTTCCTGGCTGATAGCAATGATTAAATGTTTAGGGAGGATTTGCACTCGGACGAAAACGGTGACACAGAATGGGGATTTCCAAAGAAAGGTGCATATTAAAGATGACGATATTCATTTAAGTTTTAGCCTTACATTCATTCTTATGGATCGTTTATCATTGAATCTATACATCTATCCAGATCAATGGTCCGTTACACCGTTATTTTACTTTTACTTTGAAGGAGAGCCAGAGAGTTCAAAATACAGAAAGCTATCATAATGTGTAAGTTGTGTGTCAGTTATTTAATCCTCTGTTAAAGTAAAAACTACTCCTCAACCAATGGTTTGCAGACAGTTGTGAGACAGATGTAAATAGTAGGCCTACCAATAAAAGGTATTTTGAATACAATGTGTAAACTATAGTGTTTTGTGAGTGACCAAGAAGTATTAGCTCTCTGTTAGCTAACTGACTGCTAGCAAGCATGCTAGCTTAGAGAGATTTATTTTCCCTTTTCAATAACTTTTTATTGAATAAAATAGTGGTTAAAAAGCAGGAAAGGAAGGAGAATCAGAAGAAGAAGCTTATTTGACTGACTAGTGTTACCTGACTGATTAATACAGTATATTAGCAGTTAGCTTGCAGGCTATAGCAGCACCAACTAGCCTTGTTAAAGTTACTATGTCATTCTAACTTTTAGAATCAATGATTTGAAGCTTGTTTTTGTTGTCTCATGATACAGACCAAGTTGTCCACCGTAATGGATAGAAAGCAATTGCCATAACTTTGAAATGGCACATAACTCAGAGAGACCTTTTACTTTGCTTTGTATTCTTATGAAATCATTTATTCCTCCATAGTTTGGTCATGACTAAACGGTCAGTACTGTACATGTCTCATAGGCTTTCTGCACCATGAGTGTGTCAGTGGGTTTACAGCTCATAAGCTGCTTGGCACACATGACTGGCCTGCTCACACAACAGTGTGGAAAAGGTAACACAGACACACACACGCACGCACACACACAATCCTACTCTTAACACGTAAGAAAAAATACCTAAATTGTTTATGCTGAAAATGTGGTTGTATGTTCTTTTTTCTTTTCTTTTTAGTTTAAAAAAGATACTTAATGATTATGAGCAACAACAGTGGCTGGGTACTTCCTCCGAAGCCAAACTTTAATGATAAAATAGCGACTACAGACACAGGATGATTGGATACACAAACTGTAACTCCCTCCCAAGCACGGGCAAACACAATGCCACAAAATAATAAACGCATCGACCACTGACCTATTGCAAACTGACATATTGCAAAACTGACATATTGCAAAACTGACATATTGCAAAACTGACATATTGCAAAACAACCACTGACACAGGAAAAACAACAGCATCAGATCTATCTTAATACTAAAAATAGCAATAGTAGGCCTAGGCACGGTACATGGCGTTCGTGCATGACAAAAATGTCTTACCTTATGCTAATACTCCGAAGGTGTTCTTGCGCTCGGGATTCATACTGAGGAAACTTTTCATCATGTCCTGTATATCCATTTGTTCAACGATGTCTCCGTGCACATGCATGAGTGTAAGGTGTGTAAGTCTTTTCTGGGACATGCTGCTCCTCAGCCAGGTCTTAAGGCGTCTGAGTGTGGAGAAACTTCTCTCCGAAGATGCAACTGATATAGGAAGGCACATGCAGAGTTTCATTAGCTTCTCTGCTTCTCCAAAAACTGATCTTGTCTGAGGATGAAGTTCTGACAGACCTGATGCAACCTCTTGTACTGTCTTGTGAACAGTCTCTTTAAAGACACCTCCCAACATCTGGAGCTGCAGTTGCAGTCGGCCTTCAGTATATAAAAACCTATCTGAAAATGAGCTGATCAGATTTGAGCCACTTTATGATGTCATAAAAAATTGTTTGGCTTGTGTAACCATTAGCCAATCACCAACCAAGGTAACCCCCCCCCCCCCCCCCCCCCCCCTTATCACCTGAATCTCCTCCTAGAGCACCATTGTGTTCTTTTTAACCAGATATCTCTCAGAGGGGCGTGGGGAGGGGCTCCTTATTTTCATCTAAAGTAACAGACAAAGAATCAGCACTTTTGAAACAGGGCTGAAACAGAGGGGATTATGGGATCTGTTTGGTATTTGGAGCCAAACACTTCAGAGAGATGATTTGTATATATATGAGACCTATAATATATTCATGAAAAACACTATAATAGGGGACCTTTAACTCTGTTTGCTATGAAAGATCCTTCAGTCAGGTTTCATGATGTGTTTTGTCTCCTCAGGCTCGGAGCCCCTCAGTGAAAGAAGCAGCGGTCACAAGTCGAGGAGGAGTCCTCTGCAGACGCTTTACGATGGAGACCAGGTGAGTCCTCTCTCACCACAGTCTGCAGCATCACTTTTATTAAGCCATAAGGCCTTTACACACACTGGGTGCATGACTAATAAACAACATGAGCAACACTCGCCTGCCAAATACTCCTCATCAAAACTACCCCTATCAGTGAGTGACACACATTTGGAACTGTTGCAACACTAAAAGAGGCCCTATTATGCTTTTAGGGATTTTCCTTTTTCTGTAGTTTGTAATATATGTTTTAGTGCATGTAAACGGTCTGCAAAGGCCAAAATCCCTGTGTTCCATGCACAGTGGAATAGTGTCTCTATTGTTGTATGTTCTGTATGGATTGGCAACCAAAACAGGTTTCTTCCCATAGATGCATTTCAAAAATCAGTTCTTTAAGTTTTTTCCAGATGATTAAAGGGCAAGTAGTTAGACGACACAACTTTTTATAGACAAAAGTATATTTTGAGAGAGACAGCTGAAGACTCGCACTTTGATTCATTATCAAATAAGTGTGTGTGTGTGTGAGAGAAAACCCTTTTAATTATACATAAATAAATGTTATACATTTTTTTATTGATTGATTTATTTGACAGGGACAGTGCACATTGATTAACATTTCTGTAAATGTGCCAGAGTTAGCCAACAGGCTATTTTTCATCTGCAGTCCCTGGACAGATGTTGAAAGTCATCCTAAAAAAAAATGTCACTTCAAATGACAGGTCAATACAATCAGTAAAACAACATTCAACATAGATGCATATAATAGCATTTGTGACACATTTGGTTTCTTTTTAGTATTTATAGTAATGTCTTACAACTACTGACACATCTCAACTCATCAGGAAGGTAAACAACCGTTTTTAAGGCATACCTTTTAAATCATTGAGACAAAAAAGGCACACAATACAGCTTGTTCAAACAAAAAATCCATGGCTAGGATCCCAATGACCCTCCGACAGAAGTCAGGAGTTTATATGTAAGAAGAATACATGCACGACTTTCCCCTTTCAGCAATAAATCAAATGAAATCTATCCGATACCCACCAGCCCATATAAAGACATACACAGCCCATGTATACAATCTCTGTTAAACCTTGAGCACTATATCTCCTTTCTATGAGCTGATAAGTGGTTCATCTGGACAGTTGTGATATTTGGGATCTCTTTGAAGTTGCTTTATCCCACAGACGAAAAAAAAGGTCAGCCATCTCTTTTGGATTACTGCAGTGACATTTATTGTGCAGGATTTACTGGTTTGTAAGACTATAAGCTCAGTAATATAGGAGGTGCATTTGATGAGAGCAGGAAAACGATATAATTATAAAAGCATTGTTTCATGTATATATTCCAGATAGTATAGAGGCGATATCACAGCATTTGTGATGAATTAAATTGGCGCCTTTATTCTTGTTTGCTGGGAAAAGCGGTCTTATTAAAATCTGCTGTTCAAGGCACACACATCTATGTTGACATAGTATTGATTATATGTGGTAAGGACATTCTGATTTGATACTGTTCTATAGTATACAATGTTAGGGTGGGGAATAGTGTGTTGTAAGATTGCTGAATAGTAAACTGTTGGTGTGTCTGGGAGAGAGGAAACACATTTTGTTGGAGAGGCAGAGGCATAAAATGTTCAAAGCAGTCTGGTTTTTATTGGTCTAAGTGCTCTTCTTTTACAGCACAAGGAGACCATTAACAGTTAGACAGGAAGGGAAAGTATTGAGTAAAATACAGATGTAATTTACTACTGGACCTCTGTGTCAGTCTAGACTTAAACAGGACATATTCTGCTCATTTTCAGGTTCATTTTTGCATTTACGGTACGTCCACACGGCAGCGTCGCGTTGAAGCTTGCCGGTGGGCGTGTCTGGCGTGCGACCAACAACCAATCACATTAATCTCCCGCCCCGGACACACAAGCACGCGGTTTGATTGGCTAGCGCTTGTACTGGCATATGATTTGATTGGCTGGCGCTTCCGTCGACGCTTGAAAAGTTGAACTTTTCTCAACTTCGAAGCGAGCAACGGAGGCAAAAGCGACGCGACGGAACCACAATGCAGTTCGGCAAAGTTGACGTCACCCCATTCAAAGTGAATGGGAAGCGTCTCCGTTGAAGCACGCAACGCTGCCATGTGGACGTACCGTTAGTGCCTCTATTGTGACATGCAGGACCATTTACATGCATTAAAACCTATATAACACACTACAGGGAAGGGAAGACTAAAACTAAAAAAAGACTAACTACGCATCTTGCTATTTAAATATTGCACTTCTGATTACATTTGAATATTAGTGCAGCCCTAATTAGTAGCCCTAAATCTCCTCCATGTTATGAGACGTTGATGCCAGTGAATGTCATTTAACACTGAAATCAAAAAAATTAGGTGATAAGTGTGAGGCTTGTTTGGAGCTCCTAATCAATCATAAAGCCTTAATTTCCTCTGCTGCCACACATTCCTCCACCCTGAATTTAACCTTAAGTTAAGATACTTTCTTAGAGAATTTAAAGAGGACATATTCTGCTCATTTTCAGGTTCATGTCAGTATGTAGTGTCTCTACTTTAAAGAGTCCTCTCCTGCTGAAGCTTGCCGGTGGGCGTGTCTGGCGTGCGACCAACAACCAATCACATTAATCTCCCGCCCCGGACACACAAGCACGCGGTTTGATTGGCTAGCGCTTGTACTGGCATATGATTTGATTGGCTGGCGCTTCCGTCGACGCTTGAAAAGTTGAACTTTTCTCAACTTTCGAAGCGAGCAACGGAGGCAAAGCGACGCGACGGAACCACAATGCAGTTCGGCAAAGTTTGACGTCACCCCATTCAAAGTGAATGGGAAGCGTCTCCGTTGAAGCACGCAACGCTGCCATGTGGACGTACCGTTAGTGCCTCTATTGTGACATGCAGGACCATTTACATGCATTAAAACCTATATAACACACTACAGGGAAGGGAAGACTAAAACTAAAAAAAGACTAACTACGCATCTTGCTATTTAAATATTGCACTTCTGATTACATTTGAATATTAGTGCAGCCCTAATTAGTAGCCCTAAATCTCCTCCATGTTATGAGACGTTGATGCCAGTGAATGTCATTTAACACTGAAATCAAAAAAAATTAGGGTGATAAGTGTGAGGCTTGTTTGGAGCTCCTAATCAATCATAAAGCCTTAATTTCCTCTGCTGCCACACATTCCTCCACCCTGAATTTAACCTTAAGTTAAGATACTTTCTTAGAGAATTTAAAGAGGACATATTCTGCTCATTTTCAGGTTCATGTCAGTATGTAGTGTCTCTACTTTAAAGAGTCCTCTCCTGCTGATGTTCTGATGTACTGTGGGTGGGGGGCAGCAGCCTAAAACAAAGGCCCTCCTAAAACAATCAATATTAGCTCTAGTTTACACTATATTAAGAATGTTCTCTCTGCCTTTATACAGTCCATCCTCATCTTGAACTCAAACCGTATATGCTCTTACAAAGCAACCAGACTCCATTGTGAATTGTGAACAGAAAACAGGGCTTGCTTTTCTACTGCCTCCTTGATCAGTTACTAAGTATGTGTTATTGAGTGACTTTAATGAATGCAAACTATAGGATATTTAGTTTTGTGCAAGGTAACATGTCTGTTTTTATAGAGAGAGTCTGGCCACATTGAGCATATATAACCGCTTCAGTTACCTGTAGGATAGGGCTGTCTCAAGGCATGTTAAAGCAGTGACAATATTCTGCATATTGTGTAAAATAAGTGTATTTATGTGTCTAAAATATCAGCACCAGGGTAGTAACATCTGCCTGTCTTTATATTTATGTACTATATTTAAAGAGGACATATTATGCAAATGTTCAGGTTCATATCAGTATGTAGTGTCTCTACTTTAAAGAGTCCTCTCCTGCTGATGTTCAGGTGTATATCAGTATGTAGTGTCTCTACTTTAAAGAGTCCTCTCCTGCTGATGTTCAGGTGTATATCAGTATGTAGTGTCTCTACTTTAAAGAGTCCTCTCCTGCTGATGTTCAGGTGTATATCAGTATGTAGTGTCTCTACTTTAAAGAGTACTCTCCTGCTGATGTTCAGGTGTATATCAGCATGTAGTGTCTCTACTTTAAAGAGTCCTCTCCTGCTGATGTTCAGGTGTATATCAGTATGTAGTGTCTCTACTTTAAAGAGTCCTCTCCTGCTGATGTTCAGGTGTATATCAGTATGTAGTGTCTCTACTTTAAAGAGTCCTCTCCTGCTGATGTTCAGGTGTATATCAGTATGTAGTGTCTCTACTTTAAAGAGTCCTCTCCTGCTGATGTTCAGGTGTATATCAGTATGTAGTGTCTCTACTTTAAAGAGTCCTCTCCTGCTGATGTTCAGGTGTATATCAGTATGTAGTGTCTCTACTTTAAAGAGTCCTCTCCTGCTGATGTTCAGGTGTATATCAGTATGTAGTGTCTCTACTTTAAAGAGTCCTCTCCTGCTGATGTTCAGGTGTATATCAGTATGTAGTGTCTCTACTTTAAAGAGTCCTCTCCTGCTGATGTTCAGGTGTATATCAGTATGTAGTGTCTCTACTTTAAAGAGTCCTCTCCTGCTGATGTTCAGGTGTATATCAGTATGTAGTGTCTCTACTTTAAAGAGTCCTCTCCTGCTGATGTTCAGGTGTATATCAGTATGTAGTGTCTCTACTTTAAAGAGTCCTCTCCTGCTGATGTTCAGGTGTATATCAGTATGTAGTGTCTCTACTTTAAAGAGTCCTCTCCTGCTGATGTTCAGGTGTATATCAGTATGTAGTGTCTCTACTTTAAAGAGTCCTCTCCTGCTGATGTTCAGGTGTATATCAGTATGTAGTGTCTCTACTTTAAAGAGTCCTCTCCTGCTGATGTTCAGGTGTATATCAGTATGTAGTGTCTCTACTTTAAAGAGTCTCTCCTGCTGATATTCAGGTGTATATCAGTATGTAGTGTCTCTACTTTAAAGAGTCCTCTCCTGCTGATGTTCAGGTGTATATCAGTATGTAGTGTCTCTACTTTTAAAGAGTCCTCTCCTGCTGATGTTCAGGTGTATACAGTATGTAGTGTCTCTACTTTAAAGAGTCCTCTCCTGCTGATGTTCAGGTGTATATCAGTATGTAGTGTCTCTACTTTAAAGAGTCCTCTCCTGCTGATGTTCAGGTGTATATCAGTATGTAGTGTCTCTACTTTAAGAGTCCTCTCCTGATGATGTTCAGGTGTATATCAGTATGTAGTGTCTCTACTTTAAAGAGTCCTCTCCTGCTGATGTTCAGGTGTATATCAGTATGTAGTGTCTCTACTTAAAGAGTCCTCTCCTGCTGATGTTCAGGTGTATATCAGTATGTAGTGTCTCTTACTTTAAAGAGTCCTCTCCTGCTGATGTTCAGGTGTATATCAGTATGTAGTGTCTCTACTTTAAAGAGTCCTCTCCTACTGATGTTCAGGTGTATATCAGTATGTAGTGTCTCTACTTTAAAGAGTCCTCTCCTGCTGATGTTCAGGTGTATATCAGTATGTAGTGTCTCTACTTTAAAGAGTCCTCTCCTGCTGATGTTCAGGTGTATATCAGTATGTAGTGTCTCTACTTTAAAGAGTCCTCTCCTGCTGATGTTCAGGTGTATATCAGTATGTAGTGTCTCTCCTGGGACATGTCTCCATGCTTTAATGTTCAAAAAGCTCTTTATTTTTCTCATACTGCCTGTGCTGCAGCACCTCTTTTCACCCTCTGTCTGAAACCAGAGCCCAGTCTGCTCTGATTGGTTAGCTGGCCGGCTCTGTTGTGATTGGTCAACCGCTTAGAGATGTCCCGCCCCTTACAGTAGCCTATCAGGTACAATGTGTTAGAGCGCTAGCCAATAGAAGTGAGTGTTACATAGTGATGTCACGATGTTCCTGAAGTAAACAAAGGAGTCCAATGGAGGCAAACTGTTGTGACTTTAGGCTTTGCAGACATTACTGTATCCAATAAAGTATTATTTATTTTTTTGACACAGTTTCAGTGTTGCACACAGCCACATGTGTTGGTCCAAAATGTGACAAACTGACGTATCGGTCTGCAAAGAGTCATCTGGTGTTGATCTGCCCTCTCTAAACATGATTCACCTTTTACTATGTCTTATTCTTTTCCAGTCAGCTGTGATCACTATAAACCCATAATTGATCACGATGACACAATCATTATATCACATTTTTGAGGATTTTTCCAACAAATACAATACATTTAATTAGACGTAATGGTGACGCACTTCTGGTCACGTACAATGTGTTGGAGCGCTAGCTAATAGCAACGCGATTGTTACCTAGTGGTTTCGTCATGTTACAGAAGTCAACAAAGGAGTCCAATGGAGGCGTTTCAGGCAGAGAAACTCCCTTGTATCCGCGTGTCTCACTGTGACAGTAACCATAGAGTCTCTGCCTCACTGGCTGCTGTGATACTTATTGTAAGTCGCTTTGGATAGCTGTTATGTAACAAATAAAACAAATTAAATAGAGATAAATCAACATGCCTCTTTTATTAGATCCTTTGCACAAAACAATTGTTGTGGTTGAGTGTAATACAGTTTATCTTTTTATAATTAAAGGGGATTTTTCTCTCATAAACGCCCCTGGGTTTGGCTCATTATATTCCCTGTTCCTGTGACTCTGTAGAGCTGAAAGACTCTCACAGATGGTTCCAGTTAAATCTCCCTATGAGGAGAAGGAACGTGGAAATGCCAGAAAACAAACCAGCTCCAGCTCACATCATTTGTTTTTAATGGCTTGTGATATTTCTTTGGTGTCTTTCCACAAGCGCTTCCTCAACAGTAGTGAGACGCTGAGCTGTCAGGAGGAGAGGGGAAGTAAAGTGCAGTAATGTGAGAGTGAGATGTGAAGATTCGGGGTGTTTCTCAATCGCGAGTACGCTTGCTTGGTAGCACATGTCTGCCGAGCGTCTTGCTTCAGAAGCGAGGTAAGAATCGTTCCTGGCATTCGGAAAACAAAGAGTGGAACAGGCGAGCAAGTGTGCAGGTGTGCGTCATATGAGAGGCCCCGCCTTACATTTTCCGCCACACATTTTGGAAATTGGTCCGTGCGCAAAGCATTGTGGGGATTTTAAGACCGCAGAGTCTACACATGTGCAGCCTCGATATTTCTCCAAACGGAGTACGCCGGGCTCGGTAGATTTCCAAGTATGCTGGAGATTGGAACAGTACTTCGGTGGCACTCGATGACGTAGTATGCTTGAAACAGTGGCTCTGAAGCAGCTTTACTCGCGATTGAGAAACACCCACAGATTCTCTTCTCTCATGCATCTGGCCTTTTTCTATGGAAGAGGATCAGGGTCATGTGTGAACATTTATTTGAGATCTTAGCGATTTGTATTTATTTTATTTCTGAGATTAGAGTCAGACTTTTAAATTTAAGTTTCAGAATTGAGAGAAAAAGACAGATTTTCAAGGTTAAAATCAGAATTATTTCTTCTCAGATTTCAGATTTATTTCTCGTAAATCTGACGCTTATCTCAGAAATAAAATCTCATGTGATCCTAATCCTCTAGCGTAGAAAGAAAGGCCACCTGCATGAGAAAAGAGACATACTGTATGTACACATTTCAATCTTGTATTCACTTTTTTTCAGAACATAAATCTCATGTCGCCCTAATCCTCGTCCGTATTCTTTGACGTGCAACAGTTCATTAAATGTAATGCTAAGTGATGGAAATGGAGGATACAGGCCTGCAGGCTATAACACCTTCAGTTGAGAAAATACATTCAGTTGGACCATCAAAGATGTTATATTTAACCTTTATACTTATCAATATTTTTGATTATTGTTTCTTTAAAATCCAAATATAATGGTTCCAAAAAATACCCATCAATGTAGCTTCAGAGCCGAGAGTTATCTTGTTGAGTTTGAAAATCCCTTTTGTCCCTACAAGACCCTCTTTCCCTATAAAAATCATACAAAAAATAAGAATAAGTACAGTTTTAAACAGTCCTGTAACGAGAGATAACTCCAAAAAGTACCAAAAAGCAAACAACCCTTGACTTTCAAATTAGGCCAGGATTGCATATTGCATCATATGTGGAACTAATGCATTAAAACTTCCAACTTGTGGCCACATCAAAACATAAAACTGTAATTTAAGATATTTTAAAATAATTAAAGTCATGTATACAACACTCTACCTGCTTCGTTTGCATTGAATATCTTTTAAAACATTTGGATTTCGTTGCCTTCTGATTCTCGGCCTAAATATGAGTGCAGCATTTTGATTATTTGACACGTGTGCATATCTGCTCAACACTCTTTAGAAAGACTTCTCTTTGAAAGGCATGTTTGTCTTGTGGTGCATCCTGGTGCCTATTTTAATACCCTCAGAAAACCTCCTGAATCACACATATTGCTCACATGAAGGGATTTAAAGTGGCCGGATTAAAGAGAGTTGTAAACATACAGAGCGGCTGAGAGAAGCGTCAGTGTTGGCTCTGCAGTCTTTGGCCGGTCCGGAGTTTCCTTGATGCTGCGAAGTCTGCCAGGAAACACAGAGCCACACATCGTGTCCGGCAGCGAGTCAAACCAGGGCCTCAGTGGTGAGCCGGGCTGAGCAAATGAGAGAAGTTAATAAGACGTTTGTGCCACGAGGAGGCCAAGCTGAACGGGCTGACTCATGAGTTTAATTAAAGCAGTATGATGGGGATGGACCATGATTCAGACCTCCAGAGGAGAGAGATCTGTAAAGATACTTTCTCAGAGATTTTAAAGAGGACATTACGCTAATTTCCGGTTCATATTTGTATTTAGTGTCTCTACTGGGACATGTCTCCATGCTTTAATGTTTTTCTAATTGCTTTAAAGCCAGCAGACACAATATTTGTACTTTGTGTGATGGAAACTTCTGAAGCAATGGAGACTCAGAGAGACACGAGGAGAGCTGGAACTTTGATGGCAAACACTGATGGTTTATTTGGAGCTTGTGCTGCAGATCTTTACCCCAGACCCATGTATTTAGTTAGTTCTGAGAGAATAATCAACATTGTGCATAACAAGATAAAGCATTATAACACCTCTATCAGCTGACGCCAACAGGCAGGAATACTGAGAGCAGCCCGAGGTTGCAGGCCTGTGCTCAGTGAGGGCAAACTGATAAACTGGGTCAAAGGTATGGGCCTAGGAAGATATTTCCCCAACACTTTGCAGAACACAGGGGTTTGTGGTCTAAAGGAAAGTTTGTTTGTGTATCAACCCTCTAAATCACTGTAGTCACACAATACCACAAACAAACTAACCTATTGAGGCAGCGGTAGAACAGCACCTTCTATGTTTTGCGAGTTAAAATGGCTGCTTTTATCAAAGGAGTCTGGTGACTTCAAAGATAATTGTTTGTAAATATATCATAGCCTACATTTAAACTGATAGGGATTTTTTAGGGCGGCTATAAAACATGTTGCCCCTGTCCACAGCAGTACATGCTACTTGTGATAGCTTTAGGTTTTCCTGCAGATAAATAGTTCCTCCTGTTTAATTCTCCTTCTTCTCCTTCTCCCTACAGGTGGAGTCGGGGGTGCAGGCGATCCATCAGGGTCGTCGGGAGGTTTTAGAAGAAGCCTGTCACTCTTACACTCGTAAACGCAGGGTCCTGATCCCCGAGGACCTGAAGCACGTCATCGTGGACGACCAGCACGGCCTGCTGTACTGCTACGTGCCCAAAGTGGCCTGCACCAACTGGAAGCGTGTCCTCATGGTCCTCACGGGGGTCTCCGGCTCCCTGAGAGACCCTCTGTCAATCCCCGCCAACGAGGCCCACGTCTCCGGAAACCTCCGTACTCTTTCGGAGTATTCCACCTCGCAGATCAACCAACGCTTGCGCTCCTATCTGAAATTTGTGTTCGTACGAGAGCCATTTGAGCGCCTGGTGTCCGCGTACCGGAACAAATTCACGCGGAGCTACAACACCGCTTTTCATAAACGATACGGCACAAAGATAGTGCGTCGGCATCGTTCAGACCCTCAACCGGAAGCTATGGAACGAGGCAACGACGTGTCCTTCGAGGAGTTTGTTTACTACCTCGTGGATCCGGCAACCCTACGAGAAGAGCCCTTCAACGAGCACTGGGAGAGGGTGCACTCGCTGTGTCACCCCTGCCTCATCCACTACGATGTGGTGGGTAAATACGAGACGCTGGAGCAGGACTCCCAATACGTCTTACAGCTGGCAGGGGTAGAAAACCAGGTCAGTTTCCCCTCCTCGTCCAAAAGCACCAGGACCACGGGAGACATGGCGGCGCAGTTCTTCAACAACATCAGCCCGTTCTACCAGAAGAAGCTGTACAACCTGTACCGCATGGACTTCCTGCTCTTCAACTACTCAATACCAGCTTACCTCAAGTTCAGATGAGGTAGAGAATGGACTCCTGTAAAGAGAAGTTGTTGTTTCTGAAGAGGTTTCTCTCTCTGTGTGAAGGCCTTGTTACGGACACTGCAAAGACTGTTGGAGATCCAAAGTAAATTCCTTTTTACAGACTGAAGAACTTCACCAAGACTTTCGTTCTCTTGTAAAGAAGGCAAATCATATTTTACTGTACACAGTGATCCATCGTTCACTGCCTAAAAGTGTGAAAAACCCATTTAATTTAATCTCAGTTTCATATCTGCTGTTTTTTCAGAAGTGTAATTTGCACGACACATGTTAATCTGCAGTCTCTTAATAAATACATTTCATTCAGACAGTGAATGTCTCCAAACATGCGTGCCTCTGAGCGCGGGCCTTATTTTAAACCCCAGCAGAAAAAAAGGCATTTCTACTCAACTGTGACTTTTTTGTTGTTGTGTGTTGTAGAAAAAACATGTTCTGTAACAATAATTGTTTTTATTTATTGTGTTATTGCTGACTCCACGAGTCGGACAAACCAAAATAGATATATCGTTTCTCTCACAATTTTCAAATAAATGCATTTCAGCAAAAGAAAACGTTTGTTTATTGGTTTGAATTTAGCTGTTTAAGTTTTAAAAGACAGCATCCCATATACTCGACACACTACACAGATATCCTTCAGAGTACAGCATTCAGTTTTTTATTTCAACGACACATTATGCCTAGATTTCCCTTTTTACAAATGTAAAAGCAAAGTCCACAGTCACGCTTGATGTCACTGTGAAAATAGGACTATTACCATTTTTGGATGCCATTTTCAGGTCAGTAAAGACGAGCATTTCTCTAAAAGTGAATACTAAATCATTTGACAAAAATAGAACAACAGACTATATTCAGTGCAACTGTGCTGCACAAAACATACAAATACTAGTCAATAAAGGCTTATTACGGCTTAAAAGGCACAAACCTAGGCTACAAAAAATAAACATTCATCATGACGGTGCAGCATCTGATTTGTGTTACGATACATTTACACACAGTTACATATAATTATTGCCTTAAAGGGATATTTCTGATATTTTGAGGCTGTATTGGGTGCTTATCTATAGTCAGTGTTGGCATGCAGCAGTTTGGAGAGGCAGACAGGAGGGAAACTGAACCCCGAAGAGCTCCAGGTGGCGTGTCATCAGTGTGTGTGAGTGTGTGTGTGTGTGTGTGTTTATTGCTACTGATGAGCATGTGGCACCTTGTCTGGTCGTCTCTGCCATCTGTGTGTGTGTGTGTGTGTGTGTGTGTGTGTGTGTGTGTGTGTGTTTATTGCTACTGTGGCACCTTGTCTGGTCGTCTCTGCATCAGTGGGTGAAAGTGTGTGTGTGTGTGTTTATTGCTACTGTGGCACCTTGTCTGGTCGTCTCTGCATCAGTGGGTGAAAGTGTGTTTTGTAAAGCGCTTTGAGTGGTGGTTACAAAATGCTACAGTATAAAGACGCAGTACATTAAACATTTACAGGAGGACAGATTCTAGGGAGCATAACAAATACCTAATTCAGCTACCTAAAATGATCAATATCACTTCAAAAGGGCCCTATTAAGCACATGGTTAGGTTCATATGTGTATGTAGTGTCTCATGTCGCCATGCTTTAATGTTTAAAAAGCTCTTTATTTTTCTCATACTGCCTGTACACCTCTTTTCACCCTCTGTCTAAGGGTCTTTTTAAGAAAACCAGTTCAGTTCCCTGTCGGTAAAGAGGTGAAGATATTAAAAATAAATCATACATTTCAAATAATATAGTTTTTTAGGTGGCAATGATACATTTATGTGCCGTAACTCCTGTCTGCTTCTCCATATTTGACGTTGCTGACCACCTCTACTGTCTGTTAGACACTGACTATGGATTAGTACCTCATACAACCTCACTACAAAACACCTGAACCATAAGGACTGACAATAGGTTTACAGATGTGTCAACAGGTAACAGCTGTTCTACAGTAATCCAACTTGTTGTTTCTACTGAGCAAAGCTGGAGGGTATCGATTGGTTCAGAGTACAACTACTGCACTGTGATTTAGCAAATATAGAAATCAAAAGTCCACACTTTCATCACCATATTCTGTCTTGTTTTCAGCCACTTTTCCACTACACAGTTACACAGTGCCTCAATCCAGAGCACAAAGGCATATTCTGAGCAAAATAATCGTAGTTTATCCGTGCAAAATGCTATAAATAAATAAAATCCTATCCTTTTTCAGGAAAGAAAATCTAATTTGGATGCCCAGTTTTGAGGCACAAATATAACAGCATACTAATTTCCTTTGTTTTTTAATCAGCACCATCCTTCTTAAACCTAATGACTTTATTACAAGTGTGTTCAACCCACTTGCATTTAGAGAACAATGCCCTCATGGAGTCTGTTTCAAACTCAAGTCCCAGAAGAATTGAACATCTGGATGAGTCTGAAGCTCAGAGCCAGGAAGCCCGTCCCCAGCAGGTCTCCCAGAGCCGTGAGGTACGGGATGGAGAAGTTATCCGGATCCAGACCTCTTCTCCAGAGCCAGCGCACCATCAGGCCGGCCACGTTCAGCAGAATCACCACCTGGAAGATATGAAAGGTTACATTACATTATACTTGTTAGACGCTTTTATCCAAAGCTACTTACATACTCAATACTGGGGGCAATCCCAACAGGAGCAATTTGGGGTGAAGTGTCTTGTCCAGGGACACAACGACATGCTGACTGCAGTGGGGATCGAACCTGTGCTCCCCTGATCCGAATACCAACGCACTAGTCCACTGCGCCACAGCCTCCCTTAACTTTATGAATCCCCAATGGCCTCATCAACAAGGCCCGGGACCAGTGTTGCCAACTCCATGGTAAGGAAAGTAGCTATTGGCTGTCCTAAAAGTCGCTAGAAGTCGCTAAATGACGCCATCGTCTAATTTGCATATTTAGCCATTTGCATGTAGTTGTAATGGACGCCATAGGAGAGACAAACAGTGGGGAAAAACACAGTGGGAAATAACTGGAAAGTCGCCAAGTTAGCAACACTGTCCGGGACCCCCACTGACAGTGACTTTGTATCCATCCACCTGCTTTTTGCACATTTTTGCACAGTCCTCCACTTTAAAATATAATACACTGTAGTTTGCCGTATATACTCATTATCCTAAGTGTTTTGTTTTTTAGCTTTTAAGGTTATTTGTATAGTTACATTTACATTTGGTGTAGCATCCTTTTTCAATGCTAAATTGTTTCTTAAAGGTACTTATTTTGTATTATCCTTATTTCAGTCAGACAACTCACGTGTTTCTTTAATATGTTTATTATAGCAGCAGATAGTTTGAGTTTGGCGTCTAGGCTCGGGCCTCATCACTCCACAGATTTACAAAGAACATTGAGTGATGATTAGATAACTATCCCCCGAGCCTACAGGTGGAAGCTGGGGTGGAAGCTGGGGTGGAAGCTGGGGTGGAAGCTGGGGTGGAAGCTGGGGTGGAAGCTGGGGTGGAAGCTGGGGTGGAAGCTGGGTGGAAGCTGGGGCGGAAGCTGGGGCGGAAGCTGGGGCGGAAGCTGGGGCGGAAGCTGGGGCGGAAGCTGGGGCGGAAGCTGGGGCGGAAGCTGGGGCGGAAGCTGGGGTGGTGGTGGGGCAGGCGAGCAGCAGCAACATGAAACACAGCAGCAGCAACATGAACGCAGCAATAGCAAGTGAACACAGCAGTGGCAGCAGCAGCATAGCGAGGCAGAGGCAGGAAGACCTGGCAGCTTCAATAGAGCGGCATGTTTAGGAGAATGTGTTTGGTTGGTTGTAAGAGGGACGAGGCGCGCCACGTGTTAATGTATCATTGGTGCTCGAGTTGACTGCCTGAACTAGCTCGCAGGCTTCGCCCCATATATTTTTCTTTTTTTTTCTACTTTGCAACTTGTGTTTTTAGATTGTTTATGTTCGCACCACCAGATACCAAAGCAAATTCCTTGTATATATCCTTGTCCTTTATGCAGTATATTTGGATAAGAGAATGGCTAGATATGTTTCAAATATCAGAGATTGGTGTGAAAGCATTCAAAGGGGACCTATCATGCAAAATGCACTTTTTGATGTCTTTTCTACATAAAGATGTGTCCCCGGTGCGTCAGGGAACTCACGCAGCGTCAGAAAATAAAACCCTCTCTTTTTTCCTCCGTACCCAAATCTCTAAAAACGGGGCTACAACAGAGCTGATCCAGATTTTTGTCCGATATGACGTAATATCTGAAATGTAGGCTGGCTTTACACCCACGGCCCTATGAGAAACGTTGCTATCAGCACTTTTGAAACAGGAAGTGAAATAGAGGGATATGAGGTATAGCTAGAATGGGGGATCTGTTTGGTATTTTTAGCAAAACACTTCATAGACATGTTTTTTATATATTTGTATATATCTGAGACCTATGCTATTGCCTAAAAATAGCATGATAGGTGACCTTTAAGGTACATTTTAATTTGCCATATTTTGTCTATACATGTGCGTTACAAACTACTTTTTTTACGCAGTATAAATACAACATGCCTTTAAGCTTGTGTCAAATCCAAAAACAAAAAGTTTTTTTTTAATTATAAGTAAAGGAAAAAACATAAATTGCTGCGGAAAAAGAGACACACTAAATAAATATTATACTAATACATTAAAAACTAAATTAAAACCCAGATAATTATCAAATAATAATAATTTCAAGAGTAGATAAAGAATCTCTTTATATATCTTTAAAAAAATACATTCAGATTTAGAGTTAGATTACATCTGATTGTAAAACAGTAATATATAAAGGGTGCTTATTTCTTCATTATGTCTATTAGGAGTATCCTCTCTCTGTTTCTCTCTGACCTGAAGCAGCGCTGCACACAGGTAGCAGATGATGAAGGTGGTCGTCATGGCGATGTGGCCCCCCTGCAGCAGGTGGATGGTGAACAGGAAGAGCAGGTGACCCGGGACCACGAAGAGAACCAGGACTCTCGCCGATTTGGAGTTCACATCTAGATAAAACATAGAAAGAGAAGAAACAAGATGTGTGAGCTAGTGTGTCCAGTTTCTGTTTCATAAAATATGTTCTTGGGTTTCTTAGAACAGTTTTTGGCTTGTGCTTGTATCTGTTTAAGGAAATTATGTGTAGCTGAATTGTGATGTGTTCATTTTCAACTGAATAAACTATGGTCAGATGATTGCTTCCTATAAACTCACTTTCATTCTTCTACGTTTGTAACTTTAATAACTTGAAAGACACACTTCCTCACTTTTTTACAGATAATTATTTACTTGTTTTGATGGCACCTTAGAAGGAGTAGCTTTAATCTTCTCGTTGTACTTGTATAATGTCAATAAATGCTTCTAATCTAAGGTCTGTGTGTAGCTAGCAGCTGCTTAGCTTAGCTTAGCAAGACTGGGTAACAGCTAGCCTGCCTCGGGGGAAATGAACAAAATCTGCCTTCTGTATTACAGGCTATTTCTTTAGTTCACATGCTCTATTTGTTTTTAAATTGGCATTTGTTCATGTTCATGTGTGTGAAATACTGTATCTGGCTCTTAAGATGCTAAATGCCCTTGTTATTATGCCCCAGCTAGCATGCTAACGTTATCTGTCTGACATCTTGTGCCGGGCAAGTAGCATACAGTTGGTTTTTTTGGAGCTAGTTTGCTTAAAAATGCTGGAAATAATTAAATAAAACACACTTAAAATGTCCAGGAGAGCTACAGACAGTCTAAGTCAAGTCAAAGTCAACTTTATTGTCAATTTTCTGGGCGTGAGAAACAGACAGAAATGCTGTTTCTCACAATACCGAGGATTAAAAGTTCAAATATCTAAAAATACCTACATTATCACATATATATAAAACGTGTTGTAACTTGCTTTCAATGAAAATTAGCTACTGGAAAGGTTCTTGTCTTTTACATGTTGTGATTTGATTGATGTGACTTTAATAATACTCTTACATGTTTGACTCGCTTATTCCTTTTGTACAGAGGTGGGAAGTAGTGCAGTACAAATACTTCGTTACTGTACTTAAGTATATCTTTCTGGTATCAGTACTTTACTCCACTACTTATTTTTCTGACGACTTTTTACTTTTACTTCTTACATTTTGAACACAAATACCTGTACTTTCTACTTCTTACATGTTGAACACAAATACCTGTACTTTCTACTTTTTACATTTTGAACACAAATACCTGTACTTTCTACTTTTTACATTTTGAACACAAATACCTGTACTTTCTACTTCTTACATGTTGAACACAAATACCTGTTCTTTCTACTTCTTACATTTTGAACACAAATACCTGTTCTTTCTACTTCTTACATGTTGAACCCAAATACCTGTACTTTCTACTTCTTACATTTAGAACACAAATACCTGTACTTTCTACTTCTCACATTTTCCAAACAGGCTGGTTCCTTTAGTCTGAATGTGTGTTTGGTGGCGTGATCATTATTATTTAGAGTCATTGCGTGCCTATTGATTTGAACACGATCCGTGTATCCATCATTTCCTGGTCTTCTCTAAAGAAGAGGGACCAATGAAAACGTTGTCATGTTGCCGTTGTTCAGCATGGAAACATTCATTAGCTAACAATAACATTATTGTTCTATTAATATAAAGGGAGGTCAGGTACTCTTTAAAACAGCTGCTAGTTATGGGTACTTTTTACTGAAGTACATTTCAAAGCCCTCTTTACTTTCACTTGAGTAAAGAAGTTTAGTCTGTACTTCTACTTTTACCAGAGTGTTTTTAAACACGAGTATCTGTACTTCTACTTGAGTAAAGGATGTGTGTACTTTTGCCATCTCTGCTTTTGTATTCATAACTCCTGATGAAGGACACCTGTATTTCTTCTGTATATACTGTATATATCTGACCTGAGGAGCAGAGGGTAGCAAAGGGTCCGGGACAGTTTCCACTCATCGTAACGGGAACAGATCCAGGAACAGTCCAGCAGTGAAGGTACGTGGACATCCTGCTGGCTTGAATGGCAACAAGATTTCCCCCTACGCCTGTTTTAATGGACAAATGTGGCACCGATCAATAACGAAACACACATTTAATAACACTAGGAACACAACAATACAACATTCTAGTTCATTTCAAGATTGGATTGGCAGTGTGAGACGCTTTTTTATCCAGGATAGAAATATAATACTTTTTATTTATTTTGACAGGTCTCTCTTGGAAATGAGACCTTGTGTCTCAATGAGATTTTAAACCTGTATAAATAAAGGCTAAATAATTTTTTTTTAAAGGTCTCCTATTATGCTATTTTTAAGCATATATTATGGGTCAGATATGATAATAATATATAAAAACTAGGGCTGTCAGTCGATTAAAATATTTAATCGCGATTAATCGCATGATTGTCCATAGTTAATCGCGATTAATCGCACATTTTTTATCTGTTCTAAATGTACCTTAGAGGGATATTTTTCAAGTTTTTAATACTCTTATCAACATATGAGTGGACAAATATGCTTTATATGTTTGTTTATTATCATTTGAACAATGACAAATATTCTCATGAATATTAAACACAACAACCTCTGAACATTACAAATATTCGCCTCAAGTCAACCTGGAACCTCTCTCATACAATAATACTGTGTGTGTGTGTGTGTGTGTGTGTGTGTGTGTGTGTGTGTGTGTGTGTGTGTGTGTGTGTGTGTGTGTGTGTGTGTGTGTGTGTATGTGTGTGTGTGTGTGTGTGTGTGTGTGTGTGTGTGTGTGTGTGTGTGTGTGTATGTGTGTGTGTGTGTGTGTGTGTGTGTACACTGTGATGGATCGTTGGAGCTATGTGCCGCTCAAGGCATGTAGCGCGTACTATCCGTGCTGAGTGCGCTGACTTTTCGTACAATGTCCCACTGTCTGGCTACCTGCATAAAGTCAAGTGCTCGGCGCAGTTGTCGGCGAAATGTCATTGAAACAGTTCCTTATATCCGTTAGCGCAGCTAGCTAGCACCAGATACTAACAACAACAACACGTAAGGTGTGCCTCGCTCGCGCGAGTCGCGCCACACATACACACTCCCTCCCGGTCCTCCCGATGGCCAGTCCGGGCCTGCCGGTGAGCGTGGAAGTGTGGTCTGCCACAAGCGGGCAGCAGGAGCGGGGCTGTCAGCATCAGCTTGTCGATGGTATTTTAAACTCGATGCGCTCTGAAACTACGGCGGCCGAGGACAAAAGATACACATGCGTTAATCGCGTTAAAATAATTAGTGGCGTTAATTTTGTTTGCGTTAACGCGTTATTAACGCGTTAACTTGACAGCCCTAATAAAAACATGTCTATGATGTGTTTTGCTCAAAATACCAAACAGATCATGCATTTTAGACATCCCTCATATCCCTCTATTTCAGCTGTTAGAGAACTGCTGATTTTGGGTCCTTAGCTTGAGAAGAGGGGGGGAGCTAATGCCTGATCAGAATTCCACGAGATACAGCTAAATGCTGCCGTGATTAAACACCATCATGTTCCAAACCACATCAAGGATTATTTCTGAAACAGTCTGGAGCTCAAATGCTTTTTCTCTCTCAGGTTTACCAAAAGGTGAGTTCCTTTCTTTATTTCCTGCTTTTTTACACATGCTCTCTCCAGTACAGATTAGCTCTGAGTGTTAGCGATGCTTGCTAATGTAAACAAAGAACATATTACGTCCAAAACACGCCGTGCATTGTTTCTGATAGCGACGTTTCTGATAGGTCCACATTTCAGATATTACATCATATCGGACGCAAATCTGGATCAGCTCCGTTGTTCACCCGTTTTTAGAGATGTGGGTAGTATTCGTTTATTTGTCCCCGAGGGGAAAATGGGTTGCAGCACATCACAAGGCATTTAAAACAAAAGAGAGAGGGTTTTGTTTTCTGACACTTTGTGAGTTCCCTGACACACCGGGGCGGGGACACATATTTATGTCTAAAAGACATCAAAAAGTGCATTTTGCATGATAGGAGACAAACTAAGAATACAACCATAACAAATTCTAGTTCATTTCAAGATTGGATTGGCAGTGTGGACAGAGGAGACGCTTTGGTGTCCAAGATAGAAATATAATCCTTTTGATTTAATAAAAAAAAAGTGCTTTTAGAGGAGGGTTTTAATATTTGCCATATGAAAGGCTGAGTAGTCACTGTAGGACATTTGATTTAACACTCGTGCAGAAATGATTCACTTTTTAAATATTGTTTTTTAAATCTGAATGCTTGGGAAAGGCAGTGTGGATGTTGTGTCATATTCTTTGAATCACTGCTCTCCCCTCAGGCTGATTTCATTAAAGCAGCAGAACAAAATGTCTTGGTTTGCAGAGCTTCGAAGCACATGGATCATTTTCAGTTAACATCGGGAGTGTTTCTGGCTGAGGAGTTATTTACTCAAGTATTGTAGGCCTTTTAAAGAAGACATTTGAAGTACTTTTCTTTAGTATTTTCTTTAGTTTTAAGTTATCTAGTATTCATAAGACAAATATTGTACACTTTTACACCACATCATTAAGAGGGAAATATAGTGCTTTGTACTACATTTTGCTGCTTGCTGTAGCCCCTTTGCTCGTTAACTTTGACATAAATCACAATATGATACGCTCACATAATAGGACGCCATACTATAATCTACAAGGTAAAGTATGTAACATTTCCTCAACATTAATGAACTACAACACTTACACACTGTACATTTTACATTTACATTTAATGTAATATTCCATTCCCTACACTCTTAATGTACATAATATCCTGCTTTATATTGTGTCTAAAGCCCTTCAATAGTGTTTTATTGTCAAAGTTTATAGATTTATTTTTATCTTCAAGGTCTTCTGCAATTTCTACTTTGTAATGCTGCTTAAAGGGGACCTATCATGCAAAATGCACTTTGTGATGTCTTTTATACATAACTATGTGTCCCCGGTGTGTCAGGGAACTCACGCAGCGTCAGAAAATAAAACCCTCTCTCTTTTCCTCCGTACCCAAATCTCTAAAAACGGGGGAACAACGGAGCTGATCCAGATTTGCGTCCGATATGACGTAATATCTGAAATGTGGACCCACGGCCCTATCAGAAAGTTGCTATCAGAAACAATGCCCGACTGTTTTGGACGTAATATGGTCGGTGTTTACATTAGCATCGCTAACACTCAGAGCTAACCTGTACTGGAGAGCATGTGTGTGAAGAAGCAGGAAATAAAAAGGAACTCACCTTGTGGTATAACCGGCAAGAGAGAAAGCCTTTGAGCTCCATACTGTTTCAGAAATAACCCTTGATAATCCATGATATGGCGTTTCATCACGGCAGTATTTAGTTTAGACAGTAGCTGCCGGGTCCCGCATGAGCTCAGCCCCCTCCTTTTTCTTTTTAATCAATTTTCCTTTTTTTTATTTTTCAAAGCTTTATACCCCAAATCAGCACTTTTGAAACAGGAAGTGAAATAGAGGGATATGAGGCATGGCTAGAATGGGTGATCTGTTTGGTATTTTGAGCAAAACACTTCATAAACATGTTTTTTATATATTTTTATATATCTGATATATCTTGCCTAAAAATAGCATGATAGGTGCACTTTAAATTCTATTTTGAGATGTTTATATTCTAGTAGTGTTTATTTCTACTCTTTACTTTCTACTTATGTGCAATGCCTTGTTTTGTTTTGTTGTTTTTTATGCTGCTGCAACGCAAACATTTCCCAATCTGGGATCAATAAAGTACCTCTTATCTTATCTTACATGTAAATGCAACAGGTATTCTTTAGTGATGAAAAGGGCAACTAAAACATACTATAATATTAAAACACTACAAAAAAAGGCTTTCTACATAATGAGTACTTAACATTTTGATGATTTAAGTACAATTTGTTGAAGTAAAATGTTTAATTCAGGACTTTTACTGGTACTATTACTATTTATTGTTTCTAGAACTGCCTCCTGCAAGCTCACTTACTTTTAATGTGCTTGTACTTATTTTTTACAGTGGTTGTTCTCTATTTGATTTAATTACACATGCGTTTGCCTCTCTTGTATCTGCACTATCCCTTCGCTGTTGAACATGAATAAAGCATTCATTATTCGGATTTAGATTTGAGTCTTTTGTATTTAAGGAAAGGATTTGAATACCTCTTCCAGCTCTGGTTTCCGGTCCCAAAGGAGAGGAGAGAGCTCTATATTGTAATGCAAATTCACTTCCTGTACGGGGGGGCGTCGAAAAATGCAGGAGTCTTTGGTAGCACTGAGGCTGGCAGAGATGCTACGCTAACGGGAGCTAACGCATAGTTGGCATTCTGATCAGGCCTGTGGTTCATGTAAAGCCCTCCATTGTAATTCCTCTCTGCTTAGTATGCTGCTTTGTGGTTCATCTGTTCCTCCACGCCTCTCTGAGGGTCCTTAAATACCTCATGATTTAATAATAACCCCAAATTTGGAGGCCCTTTTAAATAATTATAATGGGATTAGCTGCTCGGCGTCCGCATGCTCCAGCAGTTTCCACATTACATCAGTTGACATTAGTGATAATAACGAAGCTAATTATGAATGTCTTCAAAGATAAGTTCTGTTGAAACACCAAAACCCCAAATCCCAGCGCTGTGGGATCGAGCAGGAAAACATGTCACTTTGCTTTAAACGTGTGGAAGAATTACTTAAATTGTTTCCGCTTCAGCTAAGAGGATTATATCTTAAACAATATTTACTTTAGACCCTAATTAATCAAAGTTATCGTCCTAATTTCATCACCCCTGAGGTCTCTTAAATTAGGATCCTTCAACTGAACACTTAATGCAATCCTGCTTAAATGCAATGTAGTTTTTAATCAGTGGTGGAAAAAGTATTAATATACTAAGCTGAGTGAAAGCAATGTGAATTACAAATAAAAAAGTCCGCCATTTAAAATAGGATCCAAGTAAATGTATCATGTTAAAGTTTCAAAGGAAAGACTGCCAAGATGGAAAAAAACATTTATTTAATCACTAACTTAGCAATATAAATAGCAATAGTGCAGTTTTAAGCAGATACTGGGACATGTGTTAGTGTTTATATATCAGCAACTACTGTGACAATGTTTTGACATACTATACTCAGGGTTCCTGCAGGTTTCACCAACTCAAATGTAAGACCTTTTTAAGACCTTTTTAAGACCACTTTGAATAGAATTTAAGACCTATTTCACGGCAATAAAGTATGAAGGAAAATTGCTATGAAAGAAGAAATACCTCCCATAATTACTTACAAAGTAAATGTATTCACGTTCAACATAAGAACAATGACTGAACATAACAGCATAACAGTACACAGAACTGTGTTAGCGTGTTAGACAAAATGTGTGTGTGTGTGTGTGTGTGTGTGTGTGTGTGTGTGTGTGTGTGTGTGTGTGTGTGTGTGTGTGTGTGTGTGTGTGTGTGTGTGTGTATGTGTGTGTGTGTGTGTGTGTGTGTGTGTGTGTGTGTGTGTGTGTGTGTATTCAGTATATTCACTGTAGGGAGGCGTGTGGCGCAGTGGGTTAGTGCGCTGATCTTCGAATCAGTGGATAGCAAGTTTGAGTCCCACTGCAGTCAGCATGTCGTTGTGTCCCTGAGATACTTCACCCCAAATGGCTCCTGTGGGGATTGCCCAGAGTATTGAGTATGTAAGTCACTTTGGATAAAAGCGTCTAACAAGTGACATGTAATGTAAAAATGTGTGTGTGTGTGTGTGTGTGTGTGTGTGTGTGTGTGTGTGTGTGTGTGTGTGTGTGTGTGTGTGTGTGTGTGAGAGAAGGTGACAAGAGCTATTCAGAGCTCTGCTGCCTTGGCTACAATCTTTCATCGTTGCTGTTGTGTGATTGGTGTTTAACTACGGTATTTAGCGTATTTTTTTTTGCAAAAGGTGCAGCGGGCTTCAAACATGTTCCCCTCCACTGGTTTCAACCATAGACTGTATATATCAACCAAGCACTACATTTGATGTTTTCCAACCAAATACGGTTTAACTTACACTTCCCCATATTTATTTGTAAGTAGATTCGAAGATACCTGAGTTTCTGACTGCTGCTAGCTGAAGCTTGGTTGCTAGGTTACTAGCTGGGTGTTCTCTGATAAGGGGCCGGGGGAAACAAAGTTCGTGATTTCTGGTTCCATGTTGATTTATTTCAATACAAATTGTTGGGGGGAACTGAAAGGCTATTACCGTACTGGTTACTTTGCAGCCCGGACATTTCCCCCAAAATACATTTAGACGTGATCGCAACACAGAAGAACCTTTCAAATCCCATCATTTTTAAGACCTTCTAAATCATATTTAAGAGCTTTCTTATTTTTTTTGTATCATATTTAAGATTTTTAAGGCCTTCAATTCTGATTGTCAAATGTAAGACTTTTTAAGAACACTGTCTACTATTACCTTAAAAAAATAATCACGTTGTAAACTATACTATGACTTTTTCAGGATATTTTCAACATATTATACTTTGAATTTAGTCAACTTACTATGACTTTTTTTAACATGCTATAATATGACTTTTTTTAACATGCTATAATATGACTTTTTTTGTACATTCTTTACTATTACTCTTTTCTTGATATTAAAAAAAATAATAAACCAATGTTTTTTTTTATTGTTTTTTTGACATTGACATATGACTTTTTAATATTTGTAACATACTATACTATGAACTTTTTCATGATAAATGTGTTATTATTTTTGATCCTTCATTATATTTTAGACCAACTTTATTCTGACTCTTTTGTCATTCTTAACTTTTTTCATATTTTTGATCATTTATGAAGTATTTGTATTATACTTATTACGCTTATACATAGAGGGGTTAATGTTAAATCTTTAGTGGTGGTCATCCTATACTCACCGTTGATGACGGGAGTGAACACGGCCATCCCTTCAAAGTTTGGATTGCTCACCGTCTTATCCAGAATCAGACCACCAATACTGGAAGAAGACAACATACTGTACTTCTGGATCTAAAATAGCAACATTCCCAAACGTGATTCAACATTTAAAATGAAAGAGGCCACAATAATCATGTGGTATATAAATATAAAGATATTGTGTCAGCTCTAGTTGAGGAAGTAGCAATGTACACACATCCTTTGCTGAAGTAGAAGTACAGATACTCGTGTTTAAAAATACTCTGGTAAAAGTAGAAGTACTGACTAAACTTCTTTACTCAAGTGAAAGTAAAGAGGGCTTTGAAATGTACTTCAGTAAAAAGTACCCATAACTACCAGCTGTTTTAAAGAGTACCTGACCTCCCTTTATATTAATAGAACAATAATGTCATTGTTAGCTAATGAATGTTTCCATGCTGAACAACGGCAACATGACAACGTTTTCATTGGTCCCTCTTCTTTAGAGAAGACCAGGAAATGATGGATACACGGATCGTGTTCAAATCAATAGGCACGCAATGACTCTAAATAATAATGATCACGCCACCAAACACACATTCAAACTAAAGGAACCAGCCTGTTTGGAAAATGTAAGAAGTAGAAAGTACAGGTATTTGGGTTCAACATGTAAGAAGTAGAAAGTACAGGTGTTTGTGTTCAACATGTAAGAAGTAGAAAGTACAGGTATTTGTGTTCAAAATGTAAGAAGTAGAAAGTACAGGTATTTGTGTTCAACATGTGAGAAGTAGAAAGTACAGGTATTTGTGTTCAACATGTAAGAAGTAGAAAGTACAGGTATTTGTGTTCAACATGTAAGAAGTAGAAAGTACAGGTATTTGTGTTCAACATGTAAGAAGTAGAAAGTACAGGTATTTGTGTTCAACATGTAAGAAGTAGAAAGTACAGGTATTTGTGTTCAACATGTAAGAAGTAGAAAGTACAGGTATTTGTGTTCAACGTGTAAGAAGTAGAAAGTACAGGTATTTGGGTTCAACATGTAAGAAAAGTCAAAAGTCTTCAGAAAAATAAGTAGTGGAGTAAAGTACTGATACCAGAAAAATGTACTTAAGTACATTAACGAAGTATTTGTACTCCACTACTTCCCACCTCTGAGTAGCACAGGTGGGCTCACCTGCTGATAGACATGGCCATGATGACTGGCTGCCAGCCGGACTTCAGGACTTCACTGATTGGTGGAGAGCGACGGGCGATAATGACCCAGAGCGGGATGAGAAGCAGGAAGAAGAGACAAACTGCAGGAGGCAGGAACCACACGTCTGCAGAGAAACACAGCAGAGGACATCTTTAAGTTTCTCTAAATACACTCGCTGGAAGAGAAATGTCAGTTTTTTGAGAGTGGAACAAGACATGAGAGATTGTGACCATGACAGAAATGATGGAAGTCTTAACTGATGCTGAATGTTGCAGACGTTTGATTGAATCGAAGTTTGAATATGCTGCCCTCCTCTGGCCCAAATACTCTCTAATCACCACTTTACTGTTTCTGAATTCCTTTTTGTAGCTTTTGTCTCTCTGCTTTATTTTTCTGCTGATGTTCAGGTGTATATCAGTATGTAGTGTCTCTACTTTAAAGAGTCCTCTCCTGCTGATGTTCAGGTGTATATCAGTATGCAGTGTCTCTACTTTAAAGAGTCCTCTCCTGCTGATGTTCAGGTGTATATCAGTATGTAGTGTCTCTACTTTAAAGAGTCCTCTCCTGCTGATGTTCAGGTGTATATCAGTATGTAGTATCTCTACTTTAAAGAGTCCTCTCCTGCTGATGTTCAGGTGTATATCAGTATGTAGTGTCTCTACTTTAAAGAGTCCTCTCCTGCTGATGTTCAGGTGTATATCAGTATGTAGTGTCTCTACTTTAAAGAGTCCTCTCCTGCTGATGTTCAGGTGTATATCAGTATGTAGTGTCTCTACTTTAAAGAGTCCTCTCCTGCTGATATTCAGGTGTATATCAGTATGTAGTGTCTCTACTTTAAAGAGTCCTCTCCTGCTGATGTTCAGGTGTATATCAGTATGTAGTGTCTCTACTTTAAAGAGTCCTCTCCTGCTGATGTTCAGGTGTATATCAGTATGTAGTGTCTCTACTTTAAAGAGTCCTCTCCTGCTGATGTTCAGGTGTATATCAGTATGTAGTGTGTCTACTTTAAAGAGTCCTCTCCTGCTGATGTTCAGGTGTATATCAGTATGTAGTGTGTCTACTTTAAAGAGTCCTCTCCTGCTGATGTGCAGGTGTATATCAGTATGTAGTGTCTCTACTTTAAAGAGTCCTCTCCTGCTGATGTTCAGGTGTATATCAGTATGTAGTGTCTCTACTTTAAAGAGTCCTCTCCTGCTGATGTGCAGGTGTATATCAGTATGTAGTGTCTCTACTTTAAAGAGTCCTCTCCTGCTGATGTTCAGGTGTATATCAGTATGTAGTGTCTCTACTTTAAAGAGTCCTCTCCTGCTGATGTTCAGGTGTATATCAGTATGTAGTGTCTCTACTTTAAAGAGTCCTCTCTTGCTGATGTTCAGGTGTATATCAGTATGTAGTGTCTCTACTTTAAAGAGTCCTCTCCTGCTGATGTTCAGGTGTATATCAGTATGTAGTGTCTCTACTTTAAAGAGTCCTCTCCTGCTGATGTTCAGGTGTATATCAGTATGTAGTGTCTCTACTTTAAAGAGTCCTCTCCTGCTGATGTTCAGGTGTATATCAGTATGTAGTGTCTCTACTTTAAAGAGTCCTCTCCTGCTGATGTTCAGGTGTATATCAGTATGTAGTGTCTCTACTTTAAAGAGTCCTCTCTTGCTGATGTTCAGGTGTATATCAGTATGTAGTGTCTCTACTTTAAAGAGTCCTCTCCTGCTGATGTTCAGGTGTATATCAGTATGTAGTGTCTCTACTTTAAAGAGTCCTCTCCTGCTGATGTTCAGGTGTATATCAGTATGTAGTGTCTCTACTTTAAAGAGTCCTCTCTTGCTGATGTTCAGGTGTATATCAGTATGTAGTGTCTCTATTTTAAAGAGTCCTCTCCTGCTGATGTTCAGGTGTATATCAGTATGTAGTGTCTCTACTTTAAAGAGTCCTCTCCTGCTGATGTTCAGGTTCATATCAGTATGTAGTGTCTCTACTGTGACATGTCTCCAGGCTTTAATGTTCAAAAAGCTCTTTATTTTTCTCATACTGCCTGTGCTGCAGCACCTCTTTTCACCCTCTGTCTGAAACCAGAGCCCATCACGTATGTATGCAACTGTTAAATAGTGACGTCAATATGTTCTGGAAGTAAAGGAGTCCAATGAAAGTGTTTCAGGCAACTATAAAGCATGTTGTCTGATGTCAGGTCTGACAAAGAGCTTCATGATATTCTCAGTAACGGGTGACCTCTGACCTCTGTAGCAGAAGAAGAGGCTGCTGACCCCAGAGAGCAGAGACAGAGTGATCAGGTCTCCCAGCGACGCAGCGATGGGCGTGGCCACGTTATCCGGGTTGATGCCCATCTTCCTGGATCCAAGAATCACCGCCACCATCACCAAACCTGACGAAACACAACACGGAGACTCTTTAACAAACAGCTCTGAATCCCCACCTTTTCTCAAAATTCAAACATTCTTTATTGGCATGAAAGTTAAAAGAAACAATGTTGCCAAAGCATCGAAATACAAAATAATTACACAATAATATGATATACAAACAACATTAACATACATTTCAAATTGTTACATATTAATGATATATCTACAGTAATATAGTTACACTTGTGTCTGTGTGTGTGTGTGTGTGTGTGTGTGTGTGTGTTTGTGTGTGTGTTTCTGTGTGTGTGTGGGTGGGTGCGTGATTGTGTGTGTATGTGTCTGTGTGTGTGTGTGTGTGTGTGTGTGTGTGTGTGTGTGTGTGTGTGTGTATGTCTGTGAGTATGTCTGTGAGTGTGTGTGTGTGTGTGTCTGTGTGTGCATGATTGTGTGTGTGTGTGTCTGTGTCTGTGTGTGGGTGCGTGTATGTGTGTGTATGTGTCTGTGTGTGCATGTGTCTGGGTGCGTGTGTGTGTGTGTGTGTGTGTGTGGGTGTGTAATTGTGTGGGTATGTCTGTGTGTGTGTGTGTGTGTGTGTGTGTGTGTCTGGGTGTGTGATTGTGTGGCTATGTCTGTGTGTGTGTGTGTGTGTGTGTGTGTGTGTGTGTGTGTGTGTGTGTGTGTGTCATTCACTGTCCCTCAGGTTGTGGCATGTGTCTACATATGGGGCAGGAAGATGTGCCTTGTCTCCTTCTCCCAGGAGTATTTTTAATCTTGAGAGGTCATTAACCTCTGGGATTACAGAGTTCAACTTGTTAAAGTAAATGTTCCTTATTTCATTGAATGTTTCACACTTTAGGAGGAAGTGCATCTCTGTCTCAGTTTCTCTCTGTGTTGTTCATTCCTCTGCAGCAGTGATGCCTTTTCTCTGACCTAGAGTCAGCGCAGCAATGAAAGCCGTGGTGACGCTGCTGGCACAGAGGATGGCAGCCTGAGTCATGTCCACCCCCCCCCGGGTCAAAGCCCCCAGACACACGGCAGCAATGGCCGCCAGGAAGCCCACCACTGTGGCCTGCACCTGGGGAAGAAGGACAGACCGTTCATTGATCCATAGCATACAGTTTATTTTTCGTTATATGCAGATGTTTGGAGTAACGGATTAGATGTAACGGGATTACGTAAAAAAAAAACTGTATTCCCTTACAGTTACATATCTGTTTGCACCTCGACATATTATCTATTATTACAACAAGCAGTATTTTATTACACTGTACAGCATTCAATTTACATTCCATTTTTAGCTTATCTTATTCTATTTACTTGTATATATACAGTACATGCTATACAGTAACTCCTGCATTACCACTCATTGATCCATAGCATACAGTTTATATATTGTTATATGCAGGCTTGGGGAGTAACAGATTACATGTAACGGGATTACGTAATTAGGATACAAAAAAATTCCCTTCCAGTTACATATCTGTTTGCATCTCATATATTTAAACTGAGCTTAATCTTAATCTTTGAGCTATTGTTTTTATAAAACGGTTACCAAGTGTGGCAATAGGAAAGAAAAATACACACTCTAATTTAAATAGTTTTTATTAGTAAATAATGATGTTCAAAATAAAATAGTCCCTCCGTTGCCTTCTGCACGCTTCTGAATCTGCACAAAACATAGTGCGAGGTGGTTGCTATGCAACAACACTAACAGCTAGCGAACATATTAGACAGAGAGCGTTGATCCATTATTTGGCTATTTATTTACATTGATTTGTATGTTGCCATTTATTGTGCACCCACTGAAAAACTGTCCAGCATCAGTAGAATGGCTTACGTGGTTACTTGTATAGGTTGAGGTTGTTCTAGGCTGTTGCTTGGCGTGGCGAGAATGTTGCTCCACTTTCTCCGGTCCCCGAGATTCGGCTTCCAGTAGCTCTGGAGAGAGCTTTCGCACCTGTGGCCACTAACGGTCATAATTTCTCTGCTTTGTTTCAAGACCCGCATCAGAAAGCTTTTGAATGGTGATACTTTTCCAGTTGGTCTACCTGCTCTTCACGTAGCTCTGCATGTCGTCGTTTAGGTGCTTTTCTTTCTGGAGATAGGCACTCCTCAATCCACTCCTCCATAGTAAGACCCCCCCGGAGGTCGAAATTAATCTTAAATGTTTCCATCGATCTTATGCTTTGTAAGTTTGTTTCGTAACCGAAGAAATGTAAATATATTTATAAAACGGACAAGTCAAATCAAGCAATCTGTCATGTCGAAGAAACTTATTGTAAAAGTTTATTCTTTATGTTAGTTTTGTCATGTCCTTCTGCCCTGTGCTTTATGTTTATGTGAATAGTAATTCTCCCTCTCATTTCAGACCTCCACGCTCCCCGCCCCTATCTGTCTCCTGCGTCTGTGATTGTTTTCCCCGCCCTGATTGTTTCCACCTGTTCCCATTTACCCTGTGTATATATTCTGCTAGTTCCCTCCTGTCCATTGTCGGTTCGTTTCCTCATTCAGGACTTTGAGCAAGCGTACTCCACAGACGTGTTACGTATCTCTAAGCTTCAAAGTTATTGTCATTGTTTTTCCTCGAAAGAGAGTTATTGTTTTCCCTGTTTTGTTACTGTGTAAATTCCAGTAAAGTCTTTATTTTGAACCTCTCCTGAGTCTGAGTTTGAGTCGTGCATTTGAGTTCATGCCTCAGAGTTCACTCCTTGACAGTACGAACCGACCTTTAAAATGAACTCAGCCGACTCAGACCAACTAAAGAACGCCATCCGTTCTCAGGGCCAACGTCTTGGGCAACAAGAGGACCAGATGGCCGGCATACAGCACGGAGTGCAGCACCTAACCAACAGTCAGGCGGAATTACAATCATCGGTGACTACTCAGGTGAATCTGCTGGCAGCTGAGGTTCAGTGTGTGCTCACTCACCTGCAGGCTGCTTCTCCTCCGGTTCCAGCGGCGACCAGATCCGACCCCAACCCGGCTACGGAGTCGCATATTCCTTCCATGCGTCTGGCTCCACCCGAGAGGTATTCCGGGAGTTCGGAAGGCTGCCGGTCGTTCATCGTACAGTGTGAGTTACACTATCGACACCAACCGGCTGCTTTTCCCACGGATGACTCCAAAGTGGCTTTCATGATCTCCCATCTCTCCGGTCGAGCAGCAGCGTGGGCTACGGCAGAGTGGTCCCGAGGCTCTCCCATCTGCGGGTCTCTGGACGACTTCATAGACACGATGAGAAAAACTTTTGATCAAACCACTCCGGGCAGAGAAGCAGCTCGGGCTCTGATTAAGCTGCGGCAAAATCAGCGTAGTGTGGCTGACTACGCTATCGAGTTCCGGACTATTGCAGCCGACAGCGGCTGGAACTCCGCTGCATTGTTTGACGCATTCGTCAGCGGTCTCTCGGATCCTCTACAAGACCAGCTGGCGCCTCTGGATCTGCCCGCTGACTTGGACTCCGTCATATCCATGGCAATAAGAATAGACAATCGTTTGGCAGAGAGGAGAAGGAATAAATTCAAGGATGCGGTTGGTCCGTCTCTCCAGAGGAGACGCTCGCCGCCGGATTCCACTTCTTCTTGGAGGCCCCGTCACCCCTCACCACCTGCGTTCCAGACATCAGCGCCCCCTGGCTCCGTGGAGGAGCCAATGCAGTTGGGCCGTGCTAAACTGTCTATGGCAGAACGTCAGCGTCGGTTAAAGGAGGGTCTGTGCTTCTACTGCGGTCAGCGCGGACATCCACAAGCTGCTTGTCCGGTAAAAAGAGAAGGCTCATCAATAAAGAGGAGGACGTTGGTGAGCCGAATCTCTTCCTCTGATTTTCCTCCTCGCACCCTGACTCGCATCCAGGTAAAAATCAGAGACAATGTTTTTACTCATGGTGCTCTTATTGACTCAGGGGCAGACGAAAGTCTAATGGATTGGGGTTTAGTAAATAAAATGAACATAAAAACTAAACCTCTACCCCAGCCTCTTGAAGCAAGTGCTCTTGATGGACGGCTGTTGTTCAAAGTGACTCACCAAACAGAGCCTTTAGAAATAAGATGTAATGATAACCATCACGAGACAATGTCATTTCACTTATTCAACTCAGCCCAACATCCTCTCATATTGGGGTTTCCCTGGTTGAAACTTCATAACCCTCACATAGATTGGCACTCTGGGAGGGTGGAGGGGTGGGGACAGACTTGCGTGGATCACTGTTTAAGACCGGTTGCAGAGATTGACAGGAGATGTAACACTGGGAGTGTTAGACAGGATACTATCTCTAAAATATATCTTCCTGATGTACTTTCAGTCCCTTCCTGTTATCACGATCTGAGTGAAGTTTTTAGTAAGTCCAAGGCTCTGGCTCTTCCTCCTCACCGCCCCTATGACTGTGCTATTGACTTGATTGCTGGGTCTCCCATTCCTAAGGGTCGACTTTATGCAATTTCAGGACCGGAGAAAGAGGCCATGAAGGATTACATTGATGCCTCTCTCAAAACAGGGCTTATTCGTCCTTCCTCATCCCCAGCAGGTGCAGGTTTTTTTTTTGTTGGCAAAAAGGATGGGTCTCTTAGGCCTTGTATTGACTACTCACCTCTCAATGACATTACGGTTAAAAACCGGTACCCCCTTCCTCTCATCTCGTCCGCTTTCGAGCAGCTTCAGGATGCCAAGGTTTTCACCAAGTTAGACCTGCGTAACGCTTACCATTTGGTCAGGATCAGGGAGGGCGATGAATGGAAGACGGGGTTTAACACTCCTTCAGGCCACTATGAATACCTTGTCATGCCGTTTGGACTGTCAAACGCTCCTGCAGTTTTCCAGGCTATGATCAACGATGTGTTGAGGGAGTTTCTGAACCGGTTCGTTTTTGTCTATCTGGATGACATTCTGATCTACTCCCCTGACCGTGACACCCACAAACAACATGTCCGCCAGGTTCTACAGAAACTGCTCCTAAATATGTTGTTTGTTAAAGCCGAAAAGTGCGAGTTTCATGTCAAGACAGTCACTTTTTTGGGCTTTATCATTTCCCCAGGTCAGGTTAGGATGGACCCAGCGAAGGTTAGCGCAGTAGCCTGCTGGCCCACCCCTGACTCTCGTAAGAAAGTGCAACAGTTTTTAGGCTTTGCTAATTTTTACAGGCGTTTTGTGCGGAGCTTCAGTTCTATTGCAGCCCCTCTTCATGTCCTCATGTCCCCCCAGGTGCCTTTTGTGTGGTCTCCTCAGGCTGAGGAGGCTTTTTCTCGACTCAAGAAGATGTTCACCTCTGCTCCCATACTTACTCTGCCGGATCCCACTCGCCAGTTTGTGGTGGAAGTGGATGCCTCCAACGAGGGGGTGGGAGCGGTACTCTCCCAGCGCCAACAGAAGGACAATAAGCTTCACCCCTGCGCTTTCCTGTCCAGGAAGCTCTCCCCGGCAGAGAGGAATTACGATGTGGGAAACCGTGAGTTGCTGGCTGTGAAGCTAGCGTTGGAAGAGTGGAGGCATTGGTTGGAGGGAGCCGAGCATCCTTTTGTGGTCTGGACTGATCACAAAAATCTGGAATATATAAAGAAGGCCAAAAGACTGAACTCCCGCCAGGCCAGGTGGACTTTGTTTTTTAACCGGTTTGACTTTGTTCTCTCTTACAGGCCGGGGTCTCAGAATGTCAAGCCTGACGCTCTGTCCCGTCTGTTTGACCCTGTGCCTTCAGTCAAGGAGCCGGAACCCATCATTCCGTTAAACCGTGTGGTAGGAGCACTGACTTGGCAAGTGGAGAAGGAGGTGATACGAGCCAACGGGGGAGCTCCTGCACCCAGGGGTTGCCCGCCTAACCGGCTATTCGTTCAGGAAGCCGAGCGACCACAGGTGATCCACTGGGCTCACACGTCGCTACTCACCTGTCACCCCGGAGTCAAGAGAACCATGTTCATTGCTAAACAACGTTTCTGGTGGACATCCATGGAGAAGGAGGTGAAGGAGTATGTGGAGGCGTGCCCTGTCTGCGCTCGCAATAAGACCTCTTCCAGGGCGCGGATGGGTTTGTTACAACCACTTCCTATTCCCAACAGACCCTGGTCAGAGATTTCTATGGACTTC